CATTCTCCCTGGCAGCCAGGAACTTTTCCTAACTCAGCAGCCATTCCTCTCCCAGGACATATTGTTGCTTGACTATGATGATGGGGAGGATCCTACTTGTGAGAAAACAGTTATAATCACAGTACAGGGGTTAAATGCAAGTATGTTTACCTCCGATTAAATAATTGGGATGCAGTGGTGGCCAGTTCAGCTATACTGAGGTTGCTCCCTGGAAAAGGCTGCTTATGCCTGGGTATGGACCAGGAATTCTCTTTGGATATCTCTAGGAAGCTCTCACCAAGGTACTCTGCAATCCTTTGCAGAAGATTTCTGGGAAGGGCTGTCTTACTCAGTCCACTGTGAGCGTTATGTGTTCTGGCATCCTCATGGCACACAGCATATCTGCAAGTGGTCAGGGTCTGTGCCCAGATGCCTGCAGCATCCACTCTTTTTTCTCCTCTGTTACTCTCAGCACAGTGACATTGCATATGGGTACCTAAGTGAAATGGGGGAAGTTTCTCTCTCTGTCTCTCTCTCACCCACTCACAAAGTCCCCTTCCTGTTTGCACTTGGAAGGGATCATCTCAGACCACAGCCAGCACGTTCAAGAAAGGCGGAAGGGGGGCACATTGTCTGTACAAATCCTGTCTCTAACCACCCCTGACTTGGTGCCACAGTGGAGTAACAAAAAGCAGAAGCTAGTAGATTAACACACACAGTTTTTGCAGGGATGTATGCTGATGCCCATCCTCAAGCACCATCTAGGACATTATGGAAAAGGGGAGCTACCGTTTGAAGTGATCAGTCACGGATGTTTGAAAAGTAGTAGCCAAAGTCCCCCCTTCTCTTTCTTGTGGGCTTACCAGGCTGCCTGCAAAAATAGGCAAAAAATTGTTTGCTGTTGCTTTCAAGGATAAAGAGAAAGAGGGGGGCAAGTGTGTCTTGGGAGGCTGACGACATGTATCCAAAACCACCCTAAAAAATGCTTTTGTCCCATCAGGCAATGGGAACCTAACCCAGAATCCAATCGACTCTAGGAACTGTGGGATAGCTGCTGCAGTGCATCGCTTCATCAGGCGAATGTAAGCCCCTGTACTGAGGATGTGCTCTGCTTACCAAATGTGCAAAAGGGGGACTTTTTAAAATTGGAGGCTAAATTGTGACTTAAATAAATGTAACCTAATAGACACATCTTTAGGGATTAGAGACTCCAAACCATTTCCCCTCTTACAGACAGACACTGGCTCCAGTACAGGAAGAGTTAGGATGAACAACTATCTCCTTGAGATTTTGGCCAGCAGCACAGGATTCTCCAAATTATATCAGGACTAGAAGACTTACCTAGTATTGCCTGGTCCCTTCAGATTAGGGAGCTGGTGGTGTAGTGGGCGCGGGAGTCAGAGCAGAGCCTTGGGGATGGTTCAGGGTATGTGAGAGTGAATGTTGGGAGGGTGAAAAGGATCTCAGAGTGCAGGGGGGTTCCTATCCAGTGGGATTTTGTCTCTCCTCCTGGCCGGTGGGGCCTTCCTCCCCTCCAGCCCCCATGGGCTGCCAGGGGCCTTCTGTCTCCATCCAGTCCTCCTGGCTACCTAGGTCCTTTTCTCTCTCCCCTCCTCTGGCACTTCTGCCAAGGGCCGGGGGGCAGGGGAAGATTTTGGGGCAGGGAAGCCACTTATTCGGTCTGGTGGCAGGCAAGATGGTGAGCCCCAGCCCAGCTGGCCACTCTCTTCGGGTATGACTACACTACCCCGCTAGTTCGAACTAGGAGGGTAATATAGGCATACCGCACTTGCAAATGAAGCCCGGGAAATTCAAATCCCAGGCTTCATTTGCAAGTGCGGTATGCCTATATTACCCTCCTAGTTCGAACTAGCGGGGTAGTGTAGTCATACCCTTAGTTGTGTGGATGCCCCCAATGGTATCTCTGCATATAACTCTCCTCTGCAGCCTCACTGCCCCCAGTGGTCACTCTCAGTATTCTGACCCTCCTCTCTGTTCCCCTCCCCTTCCCTATTATAGAAAACAGTCCCGTTCCCAGCACTTCCTGTTTTCCTGGCACAACCAAGCCTTGACCTTGCTTTAAGTCAGGATAAGAGGAAGCTGCTTTCCAAATTTGGTGGTCCTAGTTTTTATCTTTTAGGAGGAGTTCTTGCACAAATGTGCAGACAGACCAACAGGCATTTCTAAAATATATAGATTTGCATAGAAAGGGCATCAGAATTGAATGACTTCAGTTTTTGAGTTCCTCTACTCCCACACTACACCCAATAGTCTGCACTGTAGACTTTACTCTGGAAAGATAAACAGTGTTTCTAATGACAGCAGCACAATGAAATAAAAGTAGGAAATGTTCACAGGCACAAGCACAAGTTAGATGCTCATCTCCCATTAGCTTTCAATGGAAATTAGGTGTCTACAATTTGTGACTTTGAAAATCACTCACTAAAATATTGTATACAGTTGTATTTCAATATTTGCTATTGTGTGCTGAATCATTTAGTTGATAATATACTGTTCATGGTTTTAAAGATGACTTGATTTTTTTTCTTGCTTCCTGTTTATTTGTAAAACTATTTCTCCTTTTGGTGATATTCTTGGCATATTTTGCTGTATAGAGTACTGAATGTGTTGAGTGTCCTTTATTTCCAATGTCTTCCATGTCTTCAGCATCTTTCAGGATGAAGTCCTTAACTATGAGTTTCAAAAATATTTCTGACTTAAAGAATTAGTGGCTTTAGAGGCACAGAATGAATTTTGTGTTGGTATCTTCTTAGAAACAGTTGCTCCAGATCAAAAACATTTCCTGCTCTGTTGTCCCTTACCGTATCAAATAACAATTGAAACAGCAACAGCCAATGAACATGGATCAATGATATCTGCAGCCACCGCATTTGTGTAGGTTTAATCCATTTATGTGAAAATCAAGTTACTGCTGGTCTGGTTTTTTTCCCCCTTTACTGGAAACAATTGATAACATTACTTCAGAAGAAATTAATCCAGAGAATTAATTAGCAAAATCTAATATCCAATAAATGCAGTCTTAAGAAAGATTTCATGGGTGGTCAACTGTGACATTAAATGGAAGGTAAGAAAACAAAACCCCTGAGCTGTTTTATTTTTTACACAGAAATAGTAGTGACAGAAAAGGAAGGGAGGAGTATGACTTTGGCTCTGGGGAGAAATAGGACAATACTTGTACCATCACCAAAAAGCAATTGAGAATTATTTTTCTAGCCAAAATATCCACCTGACCTCCTTTGTGCATACAGTTTTTACCTACAAAATGTCAGGGGTGAATCCTTTATACATGCAAATATTAACATTTGGGTAGTGTCCTGATTTGCAAGGGCAAAACAAGCAGATGGTTGTCCTACTTGTTAATGTGTAGTAACACCAGGACTCCCATGCTGAGAGCAGGTCCCTGTAGTGCTAGGGGCTGAACATAGAGACCTAGCTTCAGCAGTATGTGTTAGCATGTGCTTAACTTTAACCATGTGGGTAATCTCATT